GGGTTGCTGGCCAGCTGCCACAGCCATATCACAGCTTCAGCTTCTGTCAAAAGTTTTGATGGAACCACTACTAGCTAACATTTCCACTGCCAATCTGCTCAATTGGAAAATGTTCAAACAGCCTCCAGATAACTGACTACTGTCAGAAAAGGAGTGCAACTATCCTTCACTTTGGATTGCTTATGGATTTCTTCACCTTTGTCTTGTGATTTATGCACCTCCCCCATCCCACAAGAATGTGAGCTTATGAATGAATGTGACTTGATGAATGATGAAGTGACTTGAAATGAATGATTTTTTTCCTTAGGGAAGTGATGGTGCTCAAGCCCTTGAGGGATTATTCAGGGTGTTCTTTGTTGCTATATTAGTAGTTAAAATTATTTGAATAATATTGCATGCTAAGAGTACCTACTAATGACTGTTTTTGTATACCTGCTAACCAGAAGATACTGCTACTATGGACAGCCCACTATGAGATTGAGACAAACTCTTGTGACTGTAGTCAAATACATGCTGACTCATTGTCTTCTGTCTGTATTTATGGATGGAACTAAGTTAGGATGAATTTGCTAAAATGCAATAATGGGGAAAATATATCTTCTGAACTAGGTAAAAGATCATAATCTTTATGCTGTACTGGATGACTGGTAATGTCAAGGTCAGCACTAATATAGGAGGTGTTGATGCTCCCTTCATCTTCAGAACTAGCAGTACTTCAGTGTTACGTTTGCTGAAGATAATCATAGAATCAAAGAATGGTTTGGGTTGGAAAGGACCTTTAAGATCATCTAGTTCCAACCCCCTGCTATAGGCAGGGACACCTCTCTTTAGATCAGTTTGCTCACAGCCCCATCCAGCCTGGCCTTGAATCCTTCCAGGGAGGGGGCATCCACAGCCTCTCTGGGTAATCTGTTTCAGTGTCTCACCACCCTCACAGTCAATAATTTCTTCCTAATATCTAGTCTAAATTTACCCTCTGCCAGTTTAAAACCATTTCCTCTCATTCTGTCAGTACAAGCTTGTACTACAATGCATGCTTCCAGCTTTCCTGTAGGCCCCATCAGGTGCTGGATGGTCCCCCCCCCCAGAGCCTTCTCTTCTTCAGGCTGAAGAGCCCCTGCACTCTCAGCCTGTCCTCATTGGCTCCAGCCCTCTGATTGTCTTCATGGCCTGATCATCTCTGTGGTGGCCCCAAGCTGCCTATTTGAGACACGTATGTAATTTCTGTTTCAGGATAAATCTTTTTAAGTTTCTGCAAGAAATCTCTCAGTTGTTTCCAACCACTTGTTGCACATACTTGCTGCTTAAAGTCCAGAGATGTAACAGACTCTTGTATCCTCTCATTCATTCATCTGCAGTGTTGATGCTACAGCAATCTTGGTGAATCTCACTCTGTTACCATCTGGAGTCCAAATTATTTTTATTGTGGTTGCTTTGCCTTACACTGACCTTACTCTTTTGTATGTGTGCTCACTTTATTGCTGCTTTTATAGCATATTTTTGAACTGGAAATAATATGCACTGAGAATCTTTTCCCACATTAAAAATAGTCTTAAGTGCAATTTGTGGGGTACTACTTTCTTCACTCCTGGTGGAGTTATACAGTTTACTGTGCACTGCTGCAGTATGTCTGAAAATGTGCTCTTTCTCTCAGATGACACAGTAAGTTCAGCGCATGTTTAAGGTTTAGGTCACTCTCAGTATGTCCATTTGGATTTCCCACTCACAACACACATTTTATGTCCCGTACACAAATATCTGCTCTTTTGTGTCAAGTCTTTCTGATTGATTATTAAATTCCTCAATTTTGTCACATACTTTGAAATATTTTCTATTTCATCCCTGATTCGGTATATATTAAAAAAGAAACACTATTTAAAAATCAGTGCATTTTAATGCATTTTTCTGTCAAAATGTTGAAGGAAAACTACCAAATTCTATACTGCTTGGTGGCATCTTTGCAGCAATAATATAATTAGAATCATGGAATCATAGAATGGCCTGGGTTTGAAAAGATCCACAGTGATCATGTAGTTTCAACCCCTGCTATGTGCAGGGTTGCCAACCTGCAGACTAGGCTGCCCAGAGCCACATCCAGCCTGGCCTTGAATGCCTCCAGGGATGGGGCATCCACAACCTCCTTGGGCAACCTGTTCCAGTGCATCACCACCCTCTGTGTGAAAACCTCTCTTCCTAATATCTAACCTAAACCTCCCCTGTCTCAGTTTAAAACCATTCCCCCTTGTCCTATCACAGCCCACTCTCATAAACAGCCATTTCCCCTTCTTTCAAATATTGGTAGACCACAATATGGTCTCCCTGGAGCCTTCTCTTCTCCAAAATTATCATTAGCTTCTCAAATAAGTATACTCTCTCTCTCTCTCTCTATCTATCTATCTATCTCTCTATCTCTCTCTCTATATATATATCCCTAGAAATCTTTTGTCTCAGAAAGAAAACTATTATCCCAGCTGCTGCTATTGTGCAGAATAGCCACTCTCTACAGCTGTGTTCCAAGAACCTCTTTACAAATCGCTGTTTGGAGACTGAACATCTTGTCTAGAATGAGTCAAAGAACAGAAATGCCTGTAAGATATTCTGTGAGTTCTGCCCTACCACAGTAAGATTTCTCAGTAACTGTTTCTGGGCGACCTTTACTGAAGGCTATCTGTCATTTTCCCAATGATGATTTCTCAGGAAAATTCCTGAGCTCAGAAATGCTACATTTACACAGCCTATTTAGAACCAATTTAATTTTTCAGCTGTCACAGAAGCAAGAAATGACAAATGTAAATAAGCAGTCTGAAACATATCTTCAGAATACATCTAGTTTATCTACAGATTTGCAGTGATAGTTATTCCACACGCTCCTGATTTCTAAATACACCTTTATTATATGCACTAACTGTGTGCTGAAATGTGTATGGAATACAAGGTCTGGGTCTGTTGGGCCAGTGGACAGGTTAAACATAAACCATACGCAACTCTAAATAAGAATGATTTAAAAAACCTCTGCAAGAAATATGCTTAATGATCACAGTAATGTCTGTAATGTCCTCTAGACAAATCAAGGTGCAACTTGAAGAAAACCAAATGCAGCAATTTCTAGAAAAAGCAACTCCATCATTTACTTCAACAAGTAAAACTGCAGGGGAATGGAGCAGACTGTGGCTTCTAATAACAAGCTTCTCCATATTTCTGCATTGCTAAAATATGATATGCAGTAAATGCAGTCTGGAAAGCTAGTGTAGTAACTTACTTTTAAAATAGCAGGTTGAAATAATCAAAACACATTTGAAAGTCCCAGATCACCCGTGTTTACTGATGCAACTATGGAGGTAGACTGGAATGGCTGACAGTGATGATGTGTGCTTTAATTGCGCTCTGAGAAACTAAGAACTGCAGAACAGTTAATTCCATGAACATACAAGGCCATGGGAACTTATTCTTAAAGCTCAGATGACTGTGACAGCAAATTGTGTTTCTCAAGATTGAAAAATAGCATAAAACGATCGTGATAGGATAAGGGGGACAACGATAGTGATAGGACAAGGGGGACTGGTCTTAAACTGAGACAGGGGAGGTTTAGGTTAGATATTAAGAGGAAGTTTTTCACACAGTGGAAGTAATGGAGAGTGTCTTGTTTTCATTAAAATGAGGAGTTCCAAGGAGGCTTTTAACTTTTAGTGTGGGTGTATTCTATTTCTATTCAGGATAGATAGTGCTGCGCAATGCAGGTATGGGAGATGTGTCAGAGCTAGGACTGCTGCTGAAGAGAGACAATATCAACAGATCATTATGGTCCCTCAGGCTTCAGGAGCATTGAAAAATCAGAAAGTAAATGTAAAGCTACTGCAAATGGCACCCTCCCCCTTCTGTACTACAAAGTACTTCTTAGGTGCTTCCCAAACAATGTTCCTTACACCAATCCTGAAGCAATGCTCTACGGCTTTTTGTGAACTATATCTTGATTTATTAGAAAGAAAAACCTAAGTGAAAACATTCATGTGCTCCTTGTACATAAAGGATCGCTATCTTTTAGACTATATTCGTTACACAAAATCTGACATTCAGCTGAAGTGTAACCGTGCACACCTCTCTTTATTCAACCACCTGTCACTATGGATGATTCAAAACTACATCAAAAGTACAGTTCTTCAAACAAGACAAAGAACTGAGGAGCACTGTTACAGAGGTTATATCCATCCATGCACAAACACTTTTAGTAGGGACAAGATATTCTGTCAGTATCTTCTATCAATACCTTGACAAAAGACATCATCTCCTTTGAAGTAGCTGACAAGCAGCTGCACAACATACACATACAGTAGTATATAGTACAATCGTTTACTCTATAAACATCAGAATTTTTCCATAGTTTTTTAAATTTATGACCTAAAACAGCTCAGATTTGCTCTCCTATTAAATTCCTTATCGCAGCAGGAATACCATCATTTCCAGCTGGTCTAACAGTCCAGCCTGTATTCCATCTTTAGCAGTACTAAACAAAAGATGCGTTAATGAGGGGGCAAAAAAAGCCCATTATCTGATTCAGACCAAGTATAGAAAAGGTTTATTTCTAACTTCTGATGCTTAATAATTTTCTGAAGTTTTATAGTCTGAGACATAGGATTTCTGTAGGTGTTGCTGTTAGGGATCTGATCCCCTAAACAACATTATGATTTATTTGGTTTGGTTTTCAGTAAAACCTCTGCAGTTCTTAGAAAGCCAGCTATGACAGACTGCTGATCTTTGACACAATGGAAGCAAAGCTGTACCTGAAAGGCTGAACCTGTGCAAAAAGAAAAATAAAAAAAAAGAAAAAGAAAGAAGAGAGAAAATGTTGTCAAATGTGCTGGCAGCCATGCAGTGCTGACAGTCAAATGCAAAGTCAGCCAGGCTGAGTTTGGCTGTGCTATACCATGTGCAGGGCTGAACTGTTCCGTATTTACAGTCACTACATAGGCACAAAACAAACAGACAAACAGACAACACCTCACCTCTCAACTGGGATGACAGAGAGAATTTGGCTAAGGTGGAGAATATCTATCCAGTGCAAAGTGCAGACAGGACTGACCATCGCCCAGAATTTAGGCACGCTCTGAAAAGTGCCGTAGACCTTGAATGGCTACAGGTGGTTGTTTTTTCTGCTTTTGTCCCACTGGGAGGAGGAAGAAGAGCTCCTTTAGAAAGCTGGCAGAAAGTCTCTCCTGGGACACTGGTTACATCAATAGCTATCATCAGGAACTAATCAGGCAGCTACAAAATTAGCCAGCACCATTTCAAGCAAGGCTGTTTGACTTTCTTTGGTGATGTCAAGTTCCAGTATGGAAACAGCTTAGCTCATGTTTTTTTAATAGCACTTGTTAAAGGAGTGGGGTTTTTTCTCTCTTGTAATAGCTGCATGGTGGCATTCTGGAGAAGGAGAAGTTGCCGGTGTTTCTAACTTAAGCTGATTTAATTCAGTTAACCCAGAGGATCCCTATCACACTGCTGTGGTCACTGCCTGTTCTTGACCATGTTAGGGAGTTACAGTAGTTGGCAAAGAGGTCTGACAGAAAACAGTGCCGGAGCTGAGTGAGCAGCAGAGAGCAAGGCAAGGAACTGGCAAGATCAGCTGATGTGAAGTCACAGTCTGAAATTTCTGTTTTTTAGCTTTCATTATAACATAACTCATATTATGGATTGAATAGTAGCAAGCAGCTTCGTGCTTTAAGGGGAGTGCAGATGAGGGAACAAGCTGCTGTGGGTTTTTCCCTGTGATGCAGCTCTGTAAGCGCTAGGTGGCCTACTTTGAAAGGAAATTGGAAATCCCGTCTGGTTCAGTATGTAACAAAGGATTAAAAGTGTAATTTGCTCAAGTTGTGTAAGTGTTTTATACATAATGTTATTCTATGAGGAATTCGGGGAGTATCAATTGTCATTTATTACAGTGCAGTGGAATCACAGGGCATTGTACTCACCTCATAAATATTAGAGGTGATTTATCAGGTTGTTTAGACATCAGATCAAGTTAATAAATGAAAATATCTGCATGCAGGCTCTTGCTGTCCCTTAGTTTAAACTTCTTCCATACTCACTGTGACAGATGCAGAGTTACAATTGCTCAGCTGATGTGGTATCCTATGTGGTGATCATAAACTAGAGACATTTGGGGCAGTATTTTCAACTTAACAGAAGGCACAGCAGTTAAAGACGTATTCTGTACACTACAACGCAATCATCTGAGTTTCCAGAAGTTAATTTCCTCATCCCTGGGCTCCATCCCATAAAAAATCTTGGACTCCTCTAAAAACACAGTCATGGACTCGCAGGTAGTGTGGTGTTGGATGCCCTCAAAGCTACTGAGAGGAAAGGGAGAGTGGAAGGCGGTGTTACCAACAGCCTTTTTGTTTCAGTGTTATTTTTTACAATCAAAAGGGGAAGATGGGAGAAAATGTGAAGATGGGATTCAGAATTCTGGCAGCTTAACATCCTCATTTTTGTCTGTTGAATATGGGAGATAGGAATCTAAAAAAAGGAACAAGAGAGTCTGGCAACTGCAGCGGGTATGTTAACAATAAGTAAAATGTCATGTAACACCTTTCCAGTGATGGTTCCTGTGGTTTGTTCCAGGCAGATCTCTTCCATCAACCCAGAAACAATTAAAGGATCAGGCTCCCACAAGTCACAAAGCAACTATGTCTACTGAGGATCTTAAATTAATGAATGTCTTCTCTCTTTCCACTTCGCCAGGGGTTGATTTGAATATCAAAAGCTAGTTACTAGGTTAACCTTTATAAAAGAAACGTTAAGCTTGATGTTCCAGACTTTTCTCCATGTAATCCATCAAGAGAAAATATCTTGAATAAAATCTCAGATCGACCGGACATCTCAGAACCCACAGGACATTGAATCTTACTTTACATACATATATTTCAAAATGGAATTTACTTCTGGTAAATAAGACATGACCCACTGTTTATTTTACTGGCAAATAATATGGGTTAATAATTTAATCTCTATTTAAGAAATACCACTTCATCAAACCTTAATTGAGCTTAGTCAGCCATTAATTATGGTTCTTATTGACAGAGAAATAAATGGTGGTGGATCTTCCTGACATAATTAATATTTACTGTATTTTTGAGGAATTTAGGCTCATTTGCCCAGGCTGCCCTATCTACAGTGTTTGGAAAATTTAATTAATATTCCTATCAATATTTTAAATAGGCTTAAGAACCTGGAATCACAGAGTAATCATTTTCATGGCTGAGTGGCCACAGGGAGATGCAATTATATTGAAAATTTCATACTGAGGACATTTGATTTGTAAAGCACTATTTATCTTCCTAATACAACCTGGGGAGGGCTTTACACTGAAACTGTAGAATTTACACTGTTCATTTCTAGATGCTGTGGTGAAGCAGGACTGGCACAAGTACTGTCTACTCCATCTCCCCTTGCTTAACTGATTCTTCAATAAACTCTTCAAGAAACATATTTGATTTTAATTCACATCTAACTCATTCAGTTATTTTCTGTAATAAATAAGATCAAAAATGACATGTTTGACCTTAACTGCCACCAGGAAAAACAATTTCAGGTCTGAACTGGATTTTATGAGGCAGTCAATGCTGTTTGGTGTTATCCCCTCTCTTACGTCAAGTATTCCGTGTGTGTAAACATTTCCTTGGGTTTATGGCACTCTCTTCTAGACCTGAAATCTGGATCAAATGAGGATTAGATCCCAGAACCCCCCTGCCCCTCTCAGTGCTTTTAAAAGCTGGGAAAATCTATAAGGCACTATCTAGCTAGAAAGCATTACCTACCAAGCTCTTTTTGCAGATAAATAAAAGGTGAAATCACTATGCTTAAATTTGCAGCTTCCCCCACTCCATACAAGCTGCGTTTCAGGAGTAGCTCCATGGAATCTTCAGCCACTCCTGAATTTTCTATCAGTTCACTCACCTGAAAATATTCACCTAATGATTCTCATTGACTGAACCCATGGGTTTAGGTGAACAGCTGGGAAGTAAGTCATCAAGCGTAAGTTAAAAGCACATATTATGGTGTCAGAGAAGCAGCTGTTTACAGACTTCAGTACAAAAACTTGCTGACTTGACCTTCAGAGACCTGAATGCTTCCATAGAGGGACAGTTTTGGCAGCATGTGAGAAAACACGCTGCTTGTTAAGCAGTTACAACATTAGCAGGCTTTTACCAGGGACAGTGTGTGAGGGATTCAGGGGTGTTAAATGTGTGATTTTTAATTAATGAACAGAATTACTCAGAGGACAGCATGACTGCCAGGAGGATGTATATCTGCTGTTACACTAGATAGTCAGAAGATAGTTTTGTTTTGTTTTGTTTTCAGTGAAATTGAATAAAGGAAATTGCACTTTGCAAACTTTAATTGAGAAATGACAGCAGGCTGAGAACAACTGAAAAAGCTCTGAGACATGGAAGAGGAAAAGGGCAGCTAAAGGGCACAGTGGAGACATGGGCTCAGGCAGTATGGGCAAGCACAGCTCTATGCTGCTGACAGATGAGGGAAATAATATAAAGTAAAGCCCCAGCAGAAATCCTGTTGCTTCAATACGGAAGTGCATCTGCCACATTCTAGGATGTCCCATTTCATCACTGTGAAATCTATCCATCTCTCCCCCTATAAAAAGAAATATGCATTTCCTTGTAGATCCCCTTAGTTCCTGTTCAGAAGAAGAGGACACTGATCAGCTGCTGCTCTCACTCATGTGTTGTGCATTCCGCTGGGAAAGAAAATATTGCACCTCCTTTGTGCTGTAATGCTTGACATGCAAATTTGATCTGTGAAGCCTTCCTGCCATTAGGTGACTGGGGTGAACAAGGTCCTAGTTACCATGGGTAATTTTATTTCCTAAAAGTATGCCAACAAATATGATCAGAACTGCAATTACGTAGTTCAAAAACCACCAGTAATTACTCCAGAAGAAACAGTACAAACAAGTAGTTAATTACTCAACCAGTTTGGGTTAACAGCACACTCCGTCATCTGTTTCCAGGACATGGGAACACAAACACAATAAACACAAATTTCCAGTGGCTTGATTGGCATCATCTTGAATTAGTTTTGTTTCCTTCTTTTTACCACATACATGTATGTGAAAAGCCAACAAGATTAACACGAAGTGAGGGAGTTGCTCATAATGCCACCAGTTTCAATTTTCCTCCTGTATTTTGTCTCTCTATGCCTACTTAACCTCTTTAAATAGAATCACTGAGGTTGGAAAAGACCTTAAGATCATGAAGTCCAACCATCAACTGTTACTAACAAGAACACCACAAAACCACATCACCAACTTCCATTTCAACATATCTTAGGGACAGTAATTTTGCCACTTCCCTGGGCAGACTGTTTCAATGTCTAACCACTCCTTCTGTGAAAAAAATCTTCCAAATGTCCAATCTAATCCTCTCGTGACACAACTTGAGGCTGCTGCCCTGCATCCTGTCACTTGTCATCTGGCAGTGGAGACCAACATTCTCTTTGCTGCAGCCTCCTGTCAGGTAGCTGTAGAGAGAGATGAGATCTCCCTCATTATCTCCAGGCCAAACCACCCTAGGTCCCTCAGCCACTCCTCAGAGATCTTGTTTCTTAGCTCTTTCATCAGTTTTGTTGCTCTTTGCACTTACTCAAGCAAATTACTGTCCTTGTAGTGAATGGTCCCAAAATGAACACAGTGCTCAAGGTGCGGCCTCACCAAGTGCCATGTACAAGGGTACAGTCGCTTCCATGGTGCTGTTGGCCATACTCTTTCTGATGCAGACCCGGAGGTCATTGGCCTTCTTGGCCTCCAGTGTACACTGTTGGCTCATGTTCCGTTGGCTATTGACCAGTAGTACCTCCAGCTCCTATTCTGCTGGGCAATCTTCCAGCCACTCTTCCCCAAGCCTGTAAAACTGCATGGGATTGCTGTGGTCCAAGCTGTCCGTTACATGCTATGTGATGGCAGTCATGATGATCTGCTTCATGACCTTTCCTGGCACTGAGGGGATCTCTCTTTGGTTTCTTCTTCCTACACAACCCTTTTTGATAAACTGAACAGGCAAGAATTCCTGTACACTTTCTTCTAGGGGTTTCATGCATTCAGGAGATCGAATATGAACTCTTTCATGACTCCCATCTCTTGTTTTCAGATTTTAATGAGTTCTGTCATGGGAGTTAAAAGTTAACAATTTCAAAGTCTTTATCATCAAGAATTCACTGTCA